CTATACTGTTCTCCCCCATTCCAGTCTCATCCCCACTAAATGTTGGGGTCTGCTCCTTATTGCATGTATCCTGCACCTCCACGGCTGTGGGTCGGACTGGATGCTTCTCCAGGCTCAGCAGGAGCAAATAGTGTTGTGTTTTCTCTCTCCTCTGGCTGCCAAACATGACCACAATATCTCCAAGGTTGCAATGACATTGATAAATGCAGGGCAAGAGTAAGCTCAAGGGATAACAAAACACGTTCTGGTAAGACCCACAGAGCACATGGAGAGCAAAGCAAGAGGCTGCAGCCTGTCATCTCTCAGAAACACAGCAATGCTTCAACCTCAAGAAGCCTTATATCAATTAGGAATAGATTTAGGCTGAGCCTTCAAATCCAAACTGCGACATGGAGCCCCTGCCCCTTTCCTTTCTGTAGTGGGAGCTGCAGGCACAGCTTTCCTTTCTAGTGACATCAGTACTCAAACCTGTATTACATTCTGTGATGACTGTGATGCTTGACTTCATAAATCAATTTGTTCATTTGATTTAATATTCCACTTGAAGTCCCATCCATAGGTTTTCTTGGCTTATTTTACTCTGTGCTGCCTCTGCCAATTCCCAAATATAATCCGGCTACAAAAGCCTTTTTGAACTCCTGTAACTGATCCACTAGAAACAAATCTTGCATAGAAGCCCGGAGAACAAGCAGACTGCTGGGGGGAAGAAGGAGACTGACTGCATGCTGCTAACTGGGAAACTCCATGGAATTTTCTACTTGGGTCTGAGATGAGCCCACATCTTGTTCATCCTGGTCCACAGCTGGACCCAAAGCCAAGTTTCTCCACAGATGTGCAGCTATGTCAGCCTGTAGGCTTCAAGTCAGTGCATTAGAGAAAGCTGCAGTGTCCAAATGTGGGCCAGGCTGTAAAGATTCCCCCAGTTCTGGGTGATGGAAATTTACCTACCTCCAGCATGTCTTCCCTATGCCTAGCCTCATTTATCAGAGACTGAAACCAACAGGAGCTCAGCCTGACACCTCCAGCTGCATCAGAAAGAAGGGGAAGTGAATATTTTCTGCTTTTTTTTTGTTGTTGTTTAATTTTATAACTGTAGAATGGCAAGCATGATGCTTGCATTAGCTTGGCTGAAGATAACAGGTCTGTCAATACAGAAACATGTTTCAGGCTGATGAGTGTAATGTATGCCAGCCTGAGGACGGCTGGATGTGTCTGAGCATGGCTGTGCCAGCACATGAACTTTCAAGGACACTTAGCAGGAGCTTGGTGGGGATCTGGGACTGACACAAGTGAGACTGGGCAGAAGCAGCAGCTGCATTCCAGGACTGTATCTGTAGGTGCAGCCAACAGGATGCTCATGGGATGAAGAGTGAAGAAGGGAGTTGAGCTCTGAGCAGTAGGAGCTCCTCCAAATTCACTATTATTTGAAGACTGAATTCTAAACTATTTTTAGAAGTTTCTCAAAACAAGAAGTCAAAACGATGGAAAGCTGAGCTTGTTTTAAAAGACTATGCAACCAGAGTTAATTTTCTTTCTAAAGAGAGAGGTAAATAAGCGGGGTAATCTCAATGGTCATCTGGCCAGGAGTGACCAGACTTCCACAGGCTCCTTTTGAAGATGTCCGCTTGGCTGGAAACCACAACGGCCCTTTTGGTGCCAGGAGGGCACGTGTCCAGAAGCAGCTTCCAGACTAGAGGCAACATTGTCTCCAGGGCTCCCATTGTTCCACAGAAATGGAAGCAGGCCTGGGCTGAGAGTGAGATGGGATCTAGAACAATGTAGTGAGGTTGGTCGCAGTATCCCATGCTGGTTTGCTTCCTCCTGCTCCTGCAATTCAAAGTCCCCAGCAGTCTTCCTGTCAGCGAGGCATTGCTGCCAGCCACAGGACACAGCCCCCATGTGTAAATGGTCCTACAGCATGGTGGTGACACCCACAGTGGCCTGGGAACCTGACTCCCAGGGGACCTTCTTCTTGAAAGGAAGTATGTCTAACGAGTCTGGAAATTATAACTGTCAGATGTCATCCCTGAAACCACCAAGGGTAAGCACAGTCTTAGAGCATCTCGCTTCTCTCTGAGACTAAAACCAACAGCAAATAATAGCTTAGAATTCAGTCTTCAAGTAACAGTGAATTTGGAGGAGCTCCTACTACACAGAGCACAATTCCTTCCTCCACTCTTCATTTCATGAGCATCCCATTGATTGTGTCTACAGATAAAATCCACCTTTAGGTGTGTTAACCTAAAGTCACAATGACAAGGACTGAGTTCTGAACCATTGAAACCAGCAGTTCATGATGCATTTACTGGTGTTCTGTGAAGGTTGCGTTGGTCACTCACTCAGCCATACCTCTTAGGTTGGATATTAGGAAAAACTTCTCCAACGCAGTGGTCAGACAATGGAATGGGCTGCCCAGGAAGGCAGGTGGTGGAGTCATCATCCCTCAAAATGTTCAAGAAACATGTAAATGTGGTGCTTAGGGACATGGTTTGGTGGCAGTATTGGTGGTAGCTGGCTGGTTTTACTAGATGATCTTAGAGGTCTTTTCCAACATTAACAATTCTATGATTCTGTGAGTCTAATCCTTTCTATGTAACAGCTTGCATGAAAAACAGCTCTAAAGAGAGTAAACCTTATCCTTGTGTTGGCTTGCCAAGGGAAGGACTGGAGGAAAGTGACAGAGAAGGAAGATGTCCACTGAGGAATGGAAAGAAACATGAGGTGCTATATTGAGATCTCATGCAAACAAGAGAAATGCTTGTAAAATCCTGAATTAGAGAAATCTTGCTAAATTTACTGGAATGCAGAAAAAAAAAAAGTCACATCCGTTGCTGTGTCTTGCCAACTGTAACCTTGCCAGTGCCATTTTTAGACTGGAGGCAGGAAGTTACATATAGGCTCACTTTTTTTTTTTTTTTCCAAGTCATATTTCAGAAAAAAAAATATAGCTTTTTGTAGTGGAGATTAATTTTCTACACTTACAAGGCACACGTAAATCAGCTCAACACGTACAACAAGCTTGATCCAGAAGGACGTGGTCTTGTGGTGGTTTTTCATCCAAACCACTTGTGGACATATGTGGCTCAACTGCCAACATTTGCACAGCCTTTGGTGGACAGTGAAAGGGAACAGTGGTGAACAAGGCTTGTGATCTCCTTGCCTTCTGTTCATAGAGGCAACCCATGCATTCCTGACATGGCTGAGGGTGAATCTAGTGTGGCCATGCATGGGAGAGTGACTGAAGCTACAGGCTTTCAGCTTCCTTCCTTACCCTGGAGGCATCCCTCAAAGACCAGTCTAGCAGCAGCCAATGGCTTCAGAAAGCACATTTATTTCTTTCTCCCTCCTCTGATTTTCTCCCTTTTTCTGTTTCTGTCCTGCTACAAGCCCCTTTCTCCTACATCTGATTGCTCTTGTGCTACAGCTTAGGAAGAACTGGGAGGTTTGATTTTTTTTTGGTCCAGAATCAATCCAGCCCAGCAGCTGATATTGAGGTGATTTGAGGGGAAATTGGGGCATAATGTGTCCCTTCAGCCATCAGATAGCCATAGACTAGAACAGGAGTGCCATTCAAACAGCAGAAATCCAAATCTTCATCCAAAGCTGAGTTTGGAACAGTTTGGAAACATCTTTATTTTCCTGCAGAAGCTTTTACAGATTCATCTAAACATTTCCCCACCCAAACAAACCTACTTGCTGAACATGGCTGAGCATGGCTCTCTGGTGCTGTGTTCCTGCCTAGGAGCTCTGGGCATTCATGGTCTCAGATCTCACTCTCTGCCAGTATGAAGAGCAGATTTACACAGGCAGCAGGGGTATGGGCTCCCCACTTATCACAGAGCAAGGTCCTGCCTTGTGCAGCCTCTCAACATTGCTGATTCTGCCAACATTCCCGCTAGCAGTCGTATTTGCTAGAATGCTTGTGAGAAGCCAGAATGACAGGAGGCAAAAAATCCAAATGGAAATTGCTGGTGATTTCAAGCATAACATGGGCCTTCCCAACCCCCATGCCACTTCCAGCCATAGAGCTATGCCCAAGACAAAGGGCAGGAAGGAATTGCACCCGCCAAACCCAACCTGAATGTAGGATTCAGATGTCCACAGGTGAACTGTCAAGGCCGTGGGGCTGGAGCCATGGTTAGCAGAGAGAGCCCAGCTCCACTCACAGGCTTCTGGTGCAGACCAGCCTTTGGAGGGCAGAGCAGGTATTTCTGCATCTTCTCTGTTCAGCTCCTGCTCCTGCTGTGTGGAGGCCTTTATCCCACAGCACTACAATGAAGGGAAGGTGTGCTGCTAGAAGAGGGACCTGTGACAGGGGTAACTGAAGGCTTGAACAAAACAGCCCAGGAAATACAGGGCAAGGAACTACAGGCAGAGAAGCACTCTGAGCCCTGAGCTATCCTGCCTCTGGGGCATGTGGTACACCACAGAGGACAGCTGCACTGCTTGAGTTCAGAAGAGGGACAGCATCTCAGCCCAGGGCTTAGCTGAGAACAAAGCCAAGCTATCTCTGAGCTTCAGTGAGTGCTGGTAACTCTTTCACATCCCTGCCCTCCTGTGCCATTTGCTCATTTGTTTTCTTGTTTTATTTTTTGGTACTTCAGGAATAGTGGCATTCATCTGGGTTAGGAAACAACATTGCCAGAATATCCTGAGAAAAGTTTGTGAGTTATTTCTGGCCCAAACAGGAGCTGTAAGTGTCTGACATCTCCCAGTGCCCAGAAAGCTTGTTCTCATGAGAACTGAGCTCCACACCACACACTCAGGAAGGCCAGAGCTCAGGGATGTGGAGAAACAATCATAGAATCGTAGAATCACCAAGGTTGGAAAAGACCTCTAAGATCATCTAGACCAACAGTCCACCTACTACCAATATTGTCCACTGTATGGGAACTGTTGAGTCATAGCCTGAACCACTGATTGAGCACCTGGAGACAAGATCGGTCAGCCCTGAGGGCACAGGTGAAAGCAATTCGCCTGGGTGATCAGAAAGGGTGGAGCCTGGCTGCACTTCTCTTAGACCTCATTTAAGATCTGACTGCCACTACGGGAGGTTCTTTGGTTGGAGATTTCTCCTTTGCGGAGTTTCTATTGTAAGCCTGGATCCTTGTAGATGGGTGAGCACTTCTTTCTTTTGTAATTTCTTCCTATCACAATGGTCCTTTTGCCACTACTTTTTGTAACATTTTCCCACTGCACTGGGCCTTCTGCAGTTATAACCACTAACCATGTCCCTAAGTACTGCATCTACACATTTTTTTAACACCTCCAATGACAATGACTCCATCACCTCTCTGGGTAGCATTTTCCAATACCTCACCACTTTTTTGGAGAAATTTTTCCTAATATCCAACCTGAACCTCCCTTAGCACAACTGAAGGCTATCTCCTCTTATCCTATTGCTATTACCTGGGAGAAGTGACAAATCCCTGCCTTGCCACTACCTCCCTTCAAGTAGTTGTAGAGAGCAATGAGACCTCCCCTGAGTCTCCTCTTCTGCAGACTAAATAATCCCTCAGATGCTCCTCATAAGCCCGCAGTGGCCAAACACAGTGAGATGTACCATATAAGTGTGCTGAGATCACCCTACCTGGGGCACCTGAAGAAGGCATCAACTACCCACAGTTCTTGTGAGCGTGGCTTCAGGGCTTGGCAGTGGCTCTTGAGTGTTTGCTCCTTCTGGGAGCCTCCCCCACTCCTCCTGCTCCCCTGCTCAGACACTCTTCTTGGGATTATTTTTTCCCTCTACAAAGCATACACAGATGGTGTGTTGTCTGCCACAATCAAGAGGCTCAGGTGGATAATGGAGAGAGGCAGAATTTGGCATGTATTTGTTTGCCTTAGTGCAATTTTCCCATAATTGCACTTCCTAACCTTTCAGCATCTGCTAAAGATCAGCTCGTGACACAGCAAAATCAGCCTTGCACATTTCTGGACATTTCACCAGGTTAGGATTCGGGAATCCCTCTTTTGGGTTAAATCCCTTTGGAAAGGTGGGGAGAACTGCCTCCCTTTTGTGCATGGTCAGTCCTGGCTGGTCTGTACATCCCAGAAGGAAAGCACAGCCCATCAGGTGTGTTTAGCTCAACCCTTTGATGTTGGAGTTATGGGGGCTTTGAAGGGGGCGTTATTTTTAGAAAGGTACAGGTAACTCTGGCGCAAGTTCTTTCAATTTGCCTTGATCTTGTGGTGAACTCACTGAAAATTGAACAAATGGGACCAGTGCAAATGGGGGGACACCAGAAGGTTCAGAGGTGCAAAGAACAGCAGAGGTTATGAAGGTGTTTTACTGTGGCAAGCAGCTCTCTCTGCTCTCTCTTCTCTCTCCTTACAACTTCAGTTTCTTTCCTTTAGATGTTACCAGCCATGCAACAGGAAAACAGTGAGGAGGAGAAACAGAGGGCTGAGATGATGGACACGTCACAGGGAGAGGGCAGGACTCGGCAGAGGCTCCTTGGGCACTGGAGCTGACAAAGAGCAGTCCCTGCCTGTAGGAGCCTGCACTCCCTGTGATTGGAAACAGGAAACAAACCTCAGAGCTTTGTGAGGAAATACCTTCTACCCAGGCAATCCAGGAGACAGTTTGGGATCATGCTCTGGAATTTGTCAGGGGCTGCAGGTTTTGTACTGGAATGACAATCAATTCTCATATCTTCCCCAGTATATTTAAGACTTCTTCTCAATAAAACATTAAATTGAGCTGTTGGAAGAAATAATATGCTGAAATTAAACTTGGTTCTAAACACATGGAAGACCGTGGTTTACTTTTATGGAAAATTTCAGAGTTAGCAATCCTCTTATGTGTGCACACACCAATAGCTGCCATTCAGCCAGGAAGCTTTGTAGTCCTTCAAATGTCCTGCAGAATTTTGTTTCTTATTAACTCCTCTCTTTTTGCCCCTGCACACTTTCAGAGGGTAGTGTAGGCTTCCTCTTGTTTTCAGATAGCAACATAGATTGCTCCAAAGGTAATGGTCCCTATTTATTTCCATGGAAATGGACAGTAACGCTACTTCAGCACAGTGGAGGCTCAGACAAAACAATACCTGCCTGTGGCATAAGAGCTGCACTGAGCTGCCGGGAGAGTAGTACAGCTTCACCATCCAGACAGAGCAAAATTAGCTTAAAGAAAAGCTCTGAAAAGAATGGAATGTTTTATTTTCGTTGCAGTCTCAGCATGTAATGAGTTTTGTTTATTTATATTTGGTCTTTTTTGCTTCGATTTCTTTAGAGAATACAGCTAAATGCACCTTTGAGGCATACCTCAGATGCTGTGATGCTAAGGGCTCTCAGACTGAGGCTCACACATGCACATGCTCACAAAAAAAGGAAGAGTGCAGCTCACTGTGGCTTTTTCCTGTGGAGTAAAAGCCGACTAAAAACTAACTACTGTCTTACCACAGAGAGCTCTTGTGCATTCTGAATTGCATGAAGTCATTGGAGCTAAATCTCTTTCCACTTGAGTTATGCACCAGACCTGCAAAGCAATACCCAAACCACTACTTTGTCCAAATATTCTTCCCATTTGAGGCATAGCAGGGAACAATCTTCACAGAGCTGCGTGCACTAATACTGAGCATCTGGGTATGGCTAAAGAACGATGCCGAAATCCTTTCCAAATCCTAGCGATGTGGGACTGCTGGGAGGGAGTTAACTTCTCTCCTGCAGGGGGTGAGCTCTGGACCTGCTGTGGTTTGGCAGAGCTGCCACACCTGGCGCCCACTCCCAGCCCCAGGCATGGTGCCGAGGGGAGCAGTGGAGGGTAAAAGTAGGCTGTGTGCAATTCTTATTCAGTACCAGCCCACTGGCAGTGCTGCTTCAACTGCAGGTTCAGCCTCGCCTTGTATGATCATTTTGCATAGTGACAGATAACTGCAGCCACTTACTGACCCCAGCTGGCAGGGATCCTGCCTGCTATTGCACTTAAGTTAGAAGCTGATGTGTGGGGTGGTCGAGTTTTGCTGCAACAGGAGGAGCTAAAAGCATCCAAAGAGGTCTAAAAGGAAAGTGAAGGCAAAAGCTTCAGGAGCAAACCTATTTGCTTCTGAGGGGATGGGACCTTATCTCTTAAAGCATAGGTCCATGAAGAAAAGAGCTTTCCTCAGGGTAAGCTGATTGTGTCAAGAGATGTAAAATGAAAAACAGGGGAGGGAACAAGCCATGATAATGTGATAGCACTGCAATCCAGACAGTGATGCAAGAGCAGCTTGAGCTCACCTCAGCGTTCCCAAGTGGGATGAAAATGTTATTTCATCCTCCTGTCCTCTGGGTCTTCCTCCATGGAAAACAGAAGTCTTTGAACACCAGCATGGATAGGTCCAGGCTTTCATGCCCACCAGCCCAACGACGCAGACAGAAGATGCGCTGTCTGATTGCCACTGCCAGTATTAGCAGATTCCTTGACAACATATGTTGCTAAATAAGACAATCAGGTGAACAATACTGCTGGATGTTCCCCTCTGCACTATCACATGCTCTGTATTCCAGATCAGTACATTCTGCTGTCTGCTTTAAAACTGCCAAACTAGAAATCAGATCCAGGTTTCAAATAAAAGCAGCAGACTGTCCTTATTTCTAAAAGCAGGACAAATTTTTAGAAGTTTCTTCCACTGAAAATGGTCGCTGTTTCCTTTCAAGGGGGTTGGGTTTCTATTTGGTTGTGCATGTGTGCATGAGAGAGAAAATGAAATAGGTTTAAGGACTTCTTATATTTGTAAAGCTAAAAATTACTTCTAGTAGTAACAGGCTCTCGTTTTGGTTTTGTTTGAACAAAAACAAGAAATCACAAGGTTTGTACTTGGAGAGATAGCATACATTTTCCTATTTGGATGTCAGTTCTGTACATTCATTTGGCTCTGAAATCTCCTCCATCTGTATTTCTTCCCCCAAATAGAAACAAAGAGATACGAGGGAGGCAAAAACAAACGAACAAAAAGGAAACGTAGGATGGAATGAAAAATAGAAAAATGAAAATGTACATAGAAACACAGAATCATTAAGGTTGAAAAAGAACACTAAGATCACTAGCCCAAGCACAGCCCGTCCCCACCATGCCCACTAACCCATGGCCCTCAGTGCCATATCTACATGCTTCTTGAACCTCCAGGGATGGTGCTCCACTGTCTTGCTGGGCAGTCTGTTGCAGTGCTTCACCATACTTTCTGAGAAGTATTCCGTAATAATCAACAGGAAATAAAATAAAATTTGTTTCTTTTCAGATCTGTAGTACAAGCATGATTTCAAAATTCCCTGTTTCCTGACGTACATTTGTGATGACAGCAAGGTGTCTTGCCACCGGGCCTTTATTAAGAGCTCAATTTTCTCAGAGAAAGGGAGAGGAAACCCAGCAAGGCCCTGTTCCTCAGCAGCATCCAGCCTTGCATGCACTGAATCATGTGTGCGGTAATGGAGACACATCTGGGCATCTTCCCCTGCAGCCCCCCATGCCTTGCAAACATCACAGTGCAATGTGTAGACTGGATCCCAACCATCCCAGCCCAACCACAGGTACTGGGATGGGGTGAACCTTCCAACAGAAGCTTCTGCTGCAGAGGGTGGTTATGGAGAAGCCCTGTTAGCACTGCTGAATTGGCAAGACTTCAGAGAGATGGCAATCTCATGTGCAGGCTCACTGTGCTGGTAGGGGGTTGCACTGCGGTCTGCTGTTCAGGGCGGATTTTTGAGTCAAACACATGTATGTTTACTGACACTGGTTCCCAGGAGAGGTGGGAAACAGACAGCATTTGCATGTCACCCCAGGTCTGAGCCCGGCAGAAGCCTACCAGAGCAAAAGAGCCTTTCATTTTGGAGAGAATCCAGTCAGATCTGCCTCTGCATGATTTATTTTCATCGGCAGAAGGCCATCACTTTGAGCCATCCCACAGGCCCAAGTGCCAGCACTTGCCCAGGACCATGGGAAGGTGGGCTGTGGCTTCAGCCCAATAGCCCCAAGCCCCTCAGCAGGCTGATTCGCTCCATGTCAGGCAAAACCTCGCACCGGCCAAGAGTCACCTGGAAGCAATCTCCCATAAAACCAGCTCTGTAAAAGCTACAGCTGCTCACTTTGATAGTTCCCAAATTGCTTTTCTCTCTCTATTTATTTTTCATAGGACCAGTAAACAGTAAATCGGTCCCCAGCAATCCACTGGAAGGAGCTGAGCGGCACTCAGGAGTGTTGTCCTGTTCCAGAAGATCTGCTATCTGCTACTGAGCTTCAACACGGGCTGCTGTCTCTCTACAAGATTAGCAAGGACAGCTTTTCACACAGAGCACAGGAGCCAGAGTTTGTGCACACACAGACCTGAGGAAGCATGCATATTGCCCGAAGACCTCTCTCTTAGACAGGAATACAGGAACAATCTCTTATCCTGGGCTTTTTCCATCCTCTGGTAGGCTGGGTTTTTGTGATTTGTTTCTTTGGCCACTGGAAATTTACTATAAATACCGGGTACTGAGAGCCATTGTGTACTAATATCTCCTAACCACCCTTTCTAGCTGCCCAGGGCAGCAAATGATGTGAAAATTACATACCCTGGGCCTTAGTATCTATTCAGGGTTCTGGCCACATGTCACTTGTTATTCTTGACTTATGCATACATTCTTTTTATTTACTTTTTTGTAAACATTTGTGTATAATTATTCATTCCAGAGTTTCCAGCGATTTTCCTTGGCTTACAGATGTGGTAAAGCTTGTTCCCTGCTTCCAGGAAAGAAAGGGTTTTTTGACTACTGCAAACTGGGATCCTGAGAGATTTCAATCTGCTGCTTCCATGTTAGCTCTTGTGATACTTCGTTACCCATGGAAAGAGACAATTAGCTTTTAAAATATGAAACAGAAATAGTCCCAAGCCACAGATTTCACATCCAAATCCAAATCTGGGGCAGTTCAGATTTGGCCTGACATTTTGGGTTTGGGCCCAGGCCTGACTCTCCTTACGAAGCAGTTTGACATTTCCAGTTCTGGGAAGCTCTGCTCCCTCGTGCTGAGCCAGTCCCAGCATCCGGCCCTGCGCTGCCGAAAGCTCTCCAGCTGATGTGGGTTTTTCAAAAGCCTCTGTCTGTCATTGCTGCAGCTCATTTGACTGCTGCAGGGGTGGGCGCACAACTTCCACAATGCTGCTGTGGCATTTTGGTTCCTACAAGTGCCAGAATGTAGAATAACGTTGCTCTCTGCAGTTAGGTGTTGCCCATGTGGAAACATAAGAGATTATAGAGAATTCAGGATAAATCTTTGGTCACCTATCTTTAACGCAGACCTCGCAGCCAACCTTACATGTTCAGAGTACTGGACACAGAAGAAGGATGCTAGGATGCAAAGCTCCAGCCTCAACTAAACATTCAGTATGCAGCCTTCAGCTTGCTGCTCAGCACCCATACATCTTCAATCTGGGGACAATCAACTGGTGTTCTATGCATTGGCCACATGTCCAGAGCAGGTGACGTCTCCATCTGTGTTAGTACAACGCAGTGCTGATTTTCACAACCTCAACACATTCTTAATGTCAGTGCAATTAACTGCTTACTAGAAATAATGATCTGAGCAATGTGTTGCATTTGGATGAACAGAAGAGTTTTTTTATGAAGAACATTGAATATGAAGAACGTTGGGCTACTGTCATGTTCTTCCCCTCACTGAATGTATGAATTATTTTTTTTTGTAGAGTGCATTCTGAATATGAATTTTTGTTCTGTTCCCAAAGAAAATCTCTTCTTTGTGTATTTTGTAAGCAGTTCTGCAGCAAAAATGCTAAGT